ATTCCTCCGCCCCTCTCGGAGAGCCCGGCAAGCTACCGAGAGTGTCTCGCCTGCACGGCAGAGCCTGGCAAGCTCCCTGTGATGTATTCAATATGCCACATACAGTAACAACAAAGTCTCCAATGGAGATGTTACTGGGCCCGCTTGAGCAAATCGATGATCAATGGGAGGGCCTTTAATTTAAATTAATAAGTCAATTTTAAGAATAGCAACTTTATATTTTATTTAGGGCTGGAGCGATAGCACAGCGGGTAGGGCGTCTGCCTTGCACTCAGCCAACATGGCCGACCCGAGTTCGATTCCTCCGCCCCTCTCGGAGAGCCCGGCAAGCTACCGAGAGTATTCGATATGCCAGACACAGTAACAACAAAGTCTCCAATGGAGACGTTACTGGGCCCGCTCGAACATTTTTTAAAAGATTTAATTTTTTTTTTTTTGCTTTTTGGGTCACACCCGGCAATGCATGGGGGTTATTCCTGGTGCTGTGCTCAGGAATTACCCTTGGCGGTGCTCAGGGGACCATATGGGATGCTGGGAATCGAACCCGGGTTGGCCACGTGCAAGGCAAATGCCCTACCCGCTGTGCTATTGCTCCAACCCCCATTAAAAAAATTTTATTAGTGAAACACCATGAGGTACAGTTGTAGACTTACAAATTTTTGTGCTTGGGTTTCAATTATATAATGGTCAAATACCCATCCTTCCATCAGTGCCCATTTTCCACCACCACAAGAACAGCAATTTTATATTTTAGTCCTTGAAGTCCACTAAAAAAATCTTGACCATGAATGATTTTCAAGTCTTAATTTTTTATAATACAGCATCACAAAAATTTAAGTACTAATCACCTTCTATTATGGCAAATCACTCAAACAAAAAGCAAGTCTATATTTACTTTGAATTTATTTTCCAAGTAAAGAATGTACTGTCTAAAAGATAAAAGACAGGGGCAGAGAGAAAGTACAGTGGGAAAGGCACTTGCCTGGCACACAGCTGACCCTGGCATCCTATATGGTCCCCAGAGTCTGGCTAGGTGTGATCCCTGAGTACAGAGCCAGGAGAAAGCCCTGAGCACGACTAGGTGTGGCTCCCAAGCCAATAAATAAATAAGTAGAAATAAAGACAAGCTGAGTTCTTGCATTATCCAGCAACTGTGGGTAAATCAGATACTGATCTGGAATAGGGCTGGCTCCCCGCCCCCACACACCGGCAAAATTTGTAGACAAAGGTAAAATTGATGATGGAAACTGTTGACTAATTCTCAGAACAAAAAGATTCAATTAGCATACAATACCCTTTTGAAAAAAAGTGTGACAAACAGGTTTTCAGTGCAAAACCACAGGGAACATTTCTAACAATGTTGAGCCATTGGGGAACTTCAAAGAGGCCTTGCCAGCAAGCCAGTGAGAAATTCTGGCACACAGCTGTGTGACCCCTTCTTAGTCAATGCACGGACTGAGTTCCTTAGTGCCACAGAAGTACTTTAAGATAACCTATTTAATTCTGACTAGGTGTTTTTCGTTTTGTATTATGGCATCTCTTTATTTTTTTTTCTTTTTGGGTCACACCCAGGGATGCACAGGGGTTACTCATGGTGGTGCTCGAGGGACCATACGGGATGCTGGGAATGAAACTCAGGTCAGCCTCGAGCAAGGCAAATGCCCTACCCGCTGTACTACCGTTCCAGCAACCCCCCTTTAAAATTTTTTTAATTTTATTTATTTATTTGCTTTTTTGGGGTCACACCCAGCGATGCTCAGAGATCCTCCTGGCTCTGCACTCAGGAATTACTCCTGGTGGTGCTCAGGGGACCGTATGGGACGCTGGGAATTGAACCCAGGTGGTTCACATGCAAGGCAAATGCCCTACCCGCTTGCTATCACTCCGGCCCAGCATCTCTTTAGATATTAAGGAATACCTGATGTTCAAAGGGCCATACTTTGAGAAATACTGTGATTCCAAGGGTGCTGAGTTGGGCAACAATGACATGTTTCAGTGTCTCCAAGGAGAGGAATAAAGAAGAGACATATCCCATTTTTTGCTGTTCTTTGGATAGAGTTTGGAGTGCTGAAGTCCCACCCACCTTTTGTACAAATCATACGAAGGTCCAAAGGGCACGTGACACACATCACCATAGTTCTGACTGCACACACCCTAACAAGCCCACCTGCAAGTATTTAAAAGAGAACTGAAAAGACAGACAATACAAAAGGAACAACTCTGAAAAGATGAGAAATTACCAGTTACTACTGTTCTTTTCAAGGATTCCCCAGAGGTGGCCCAATGGGGTTCTCTGCAAATGACGGCACTGACTTAATCTGTTCTTTTCATTCTCCTAACTAGATGATCTCAGGTGTGTAGGAGTGATGTTATCTGCTTCTCCCAGGACAGCTGGCATCCTGCAGCAGTTATTGCCCGTTCTCAGAAACACCCGTGCAACCCCCATTTCCCTTGGGCTAGCAGAAACACCCGTGCAACCCTCAATTCCCTCGAGCTAGCTCCAGCTGAAGGGAGTATTTTTTTTTTTTTTTTTTGCTTTTTGGGTCATACCCGGTGATGCACAGGGATACTCCTGGCTCTGCACTCAGGAATTACTCCTGGCGGTGCTCGGGGGACCATATGGAATGCTGGGGATCGAACGTGGGTCGGCCACATGCAAGGCAAACACCCTACCCAGGGAATATTTCTGATGGAACAATTATGCCTCAAGGTAGAGGAGCAAAGGAAACTCTAGAAAAAAAAAATGGTAAAGTAGAAGTGGAAATAGGGGACACATACGTTGCAAACATCTGAGTTGGCCAAAATTTGAAATTAAATTTTCTAGCTCTGTAATTCAATTTTATCCTTCTTAAATCATTTTGAGGAATTTTTTTTTAAAAAACTACCATTTATAAAATTACCTCCCCCACTCCAATAGAGGGGATTTTATGGTTTAAATACTGTATGCTGAATATAATACATTGAGGGAAACCATTGGCAAGTGATGGGGAGTTTCCTAAATTCAGGACTCATGGGCCAGGTATAGAGCGTGATTTTAAAGTGGCTGGAGCGATAGCACAGCAGTAGGGCGTTTGCCTTGCACGCAGCCAACATGGCCGACCCGAGTTCGATTCCTCCGCCCCTCTCGGAGAGCCCGGCAAGCTACCGAGAGTATCTCGCCTGCACGGCAGAGCCTGGCAAGCTCCCCGTGACGTATTCGAGCCACATTTTCTCAATTTGGTAAGCCCACATCTTATAGCAACTTCTAAAAAAAGTTAATCCATAAACATCGTGAGTCTTGAATTGTAAATCTGATATTTGCTGTTAGAATGAAAAAGGCGTGCCTCAAACAGAAATGCACTCCATTTCCATCTTACGTACTTGTTGTTATCCAATATAAACATGAGCATTTCCGGCTGGAAAGACAATACATCGGGGAGGGCACTTGCCTTGCAAGAGGTCGCCCCAGATCAACCCTCAACATCCCAACTGGTCCCTCAAGTACCACCCAGGAGTGAGTCCCTGAGCACTGAGCAAGGACTATGCCCTGAGCATCACTGAGGATGGCCTAAAAAAAAAAATTTTTTTTAAAAGGACAGTTCAAAACCTTTTAAGACACCAGATAGAGGTGCAATAGAAAAGGACCATGTAAGAAACCCTGCTGGAGGTGCCAGGGGTGAGGAGGGGTGGGGTAGGGGGAGTACGGGAAGTCACTGCAACAGGATATACTGCAGGTACACGACCCTCTCTGGAAACTCGGACAGCAGCAAGACAGACATGCCTCAAAGAACAAAACACCGGGGAAGCACTGGTCGCCTTTTACATTGTCAGGAGAAAATACTCTTCAGTCTTTGGTGAAGGCAAAACCAGACATAAAAGGAGTTAAATAATTGGCGACTATGAAGTCAGATTTGTGAGGCACGAGATTCAATCCCTTTCCGGCACTATGCAAGTTTCTGGATTCTCTGTCAATTAGAAAAACCTGCTGAAAACCTAGATAAGGGTTTCCTCGTTGTTGATGTGAAGTGGGTGTGCTGTGACTTAATTAAAAAATGATTATATTTTTTAAAAATTGGACCCATGCCAGCAAAGTTCAGCATTAGCCCCAATGGAGCGATTCACAATGAGCTAAAGTCTGGGGGTGGTGTGGTGTGTGTGTGTGTGTGTGTGTGTTTGTGTGTGTGTGTGTGTGTGTGTTAAGGTTACTTTCTAAAAAAATGTAAATGAAAATCACTCTCAATATACTAAGAATGAGTTTACAAATGGAAATCTAAATTTAATGAGAGGACTTTTGGGCTTTGGGCTAAAATTTCATATCCAGGAAGAACAATTTTGGCAGTAACTCTGTTTTTATTGGTTTGTTTTGGGGCCACACCTGGCAGTGCCTAAGGGCTACTCCTGGCTCAGTGCTCAGAGGACCATCTGTGGCGCTAGGGGCCAGACTCAAGGTTCCTGCACATGAAGTATACTCTCCAATCCACTGGGCTATCTCCCTGACCTCTGCATCATTCCTGGATTGTCACAAACATTAACTCTTGATAAGAAGAATTCTGCTGAAACAATGTACATGGGGTAAGTATGGGGTAACAGATAGTGAATTTTTTCCTAATGGAAGATACCAAGCATTTTCTAATTTCCTATCTCCAACAATTCCCTAGGAATCCTGAAATGGGGGGAAAAAAAAAAGCAAACTTGCATCTAACTCCTGAACCAGAAAACCTTCGAAACAGTACAGAGTATTACTGCCTCTGGTGAAAAAAGGACAAATCTTTCTCCTGGTAAGTCTTTCTCCCGAGGCTTTAGTACAACTTGAAGGAAGACATTCTGATGCATCTCCCGGCGTCCTTGTTCAACGGTCAGGACTGCTGCTGAGAGGGGGTGAGTAACGATGCGGCCTGGCCACCTCCTTCCCACCTGGTCCCAGCCCTGAGCCTGGGATGGGCAGGGGGAGGGTGCAGAACTGCCCTGCAGAAGCACCTTCTTTGCACGCACAGCAGACTGTGCAGTTGGGGACAGGTTGCAACAGGCATTCAGAAGTACTAGCAAGAAGAGCATCCAGCTGAAGAGGAAGATGGGAGTGGAGAGTGCTTCACCAGCTCCTCCTGGCCACTGGCCACAACACCATTTCACGTGTGAGGAAGTCCAGGGAGAAGGAAAGAGCCTTTATTCCGGATCGCCTGTCCATGGAGACTTCCATATCCGATTTCCTCTCGAAGAGCAGAAGAAGCTCTATATCTGGACCCTTCTTTTTTTTTTCCTTTTTGGCGATGCTCAGGGCTTACTCCTGGCTTTGCACTCAGGAATTACTCCTGACGGTGCTGGGGACCATATGGGATGCTGGGGATAGAATCTGGGTCGGCCTCATGCAAGGCAAATGCCCTATCGTTCCAGCCTCCTTCTTCTTATTTAATGCTTGATCTCAGGCCAGAGAGAAGCATGAGAAAAGGGATCCAGGGTCAGAGAGATGGCTCCGGGAGCATCACCGGAAGTGGCTTTTGGGTTTGCCCCAGGGTCTGAATCTCCTCGCGGTGAGCAGCTGTGCCAGGCCACTGAGCAGCATCAGGAAGATGGTCATGCACATGACGATCACGTAGTTGCTGATGCTGGGGGAGAGACAAAGGCGTTATGGACGGGGGACATGGGTGGGGTAACCCAGCAAACTCCCTGAACGTTTTACCTGTTTCTACAAAAGCTACTCAATGACAAGGGAAGCTGACAAGTTCAAAAGAGAGAGAAAAATATTAAAATGAAATGGTTAGAGAAGTAGTGATGAGTATAAATACTTTGAAATAGCTCCGACAATTGTCACACGCCACAAAAATGTCTGATTAGTATCAGCATGGTCTGTGTCTTTGTTACCAGTGGAAACTGAACTCCAAAATCTTAGCTCTAGAAAAATAAAGATCCATCCCCTGCTCTAATCTGTGGACTTTCTGAATAATACTCACAGGACCTCCCAGATGTGCACAGCTTAAATATTCCGCTCATTCAGTGGACACTACTATCCTATATTTTGCTATAAGTTAAAAAATACTCTAACAGACTACCAGTCACAGAGAAAGAAAAATGTCATCTAAACTCAAATCCGGTGAAGTGAAAGTTTTAGTTAAGGAATCTAAACAAGAAAGCAAGGATGTGTCTTTCGGACACACAGCTACAGCCTCAAAGACTTTTTGAGAAAGAGAATAGTAGGTGCCATTAGGATGCCTCTAACACTCATCTCTCAGCAGCCCTAAATGCTCAGTTTCTCTCTTTAAACTCCATCATTGTACTGTCTACACAGAACGTGGCTCGAGATCAAATTCAGAGTTTGGGGACATGACACCTCCAGTGACTTGGGCAGCACTGCGCAGCTGCCCTAGGGCACAGGCGGGCACATCAGCTGTGTCCTGTGCCCGGCAGAGTCCCACCTGGGTCTCAGACTCCAGCAGATTCACCGGCCAGCCAGTGGGAGGGGACATCAACACCCCCCCCCCCCCCCACCGCCTCCCTTCCCTCCTCCAGGGGCTGGTGAAAGGAGTTCCCAGCCTGGACTGGCCCGAAGACACTCATGGGACATCTGGGAGGGTGACTGCTGGGCGCAGGGCAGCCCGGCCTGTCGCCCAGAGGGCCCGGGGTGTGGGGAAAGGTGGGGAACACAGTTCTCCCCCATTCTCATCAATTCCATGTCCCAGCCAAGCCGAGCGTCACCGTGCCTGGGTGGGGTCTTCAGCACCGGCCAAGAAGGAAGGGGTGAGGCCCCGAGTCAGTGTTTCTGTCTATTTGAATTAGGGTCATGCTACAGCTATTTGGGAAGCACCTCAACTGGAAAGCTTTATAACTCGGTAAGATTTTCTATGGATCGGCACTGACTGAGATATTTTTTCCCCTTCGGGTCACACAGAGGGTAGAGCGGTAGCACAGCGCGTAGGGTGTTTGCCTTGCACGAGGCCGACCTGGCCGACCCAAGTTCGATTCCTCCGGCCCCCCTGCATCCCCCCCCCCCCCCCGGAGAGACTGGCAAGCTACCGAGAGTATCTCGCCCGCACGGCAGAGCCTGGCAAGCTCCCTGTGATATATTTAATATGCCAAACATAGTAACAACAAGTCTCATAATGGAGACGTTACTGGGCCCACTCGAGCAAATCGATGAACAACGGGAGGACAGTGCAGTGCAGTGCTACATCCTTAAATTGCTAAACAAATATTATCAGTAATGTAAGTTTTTTTTTTAATTGTTATTTGTTGGGGCCAGTGCAATAGTATAGCGGGTAGGGCGTTTGCCTTGCACACTGCCGAGCCGGGTTTGATCCCCGGCATCCCATATGGTCCGCCAGCACCACCAGGAGTAATTTCTGAGTGCAGAGATAGGAGTAACCCCTAAGCATCGCTGGGTATGACCCAAAAAGGAAAAAAAAATGTTATTTGTTTTCACTGTAAATTTTTAAAAATAGGAGAATGGGCCTGGAATTTAAATCTACTTAATTTATGTTTATATATATTTTAACCCCAAGTGAGTATGATATAGATCTTACCACCATTTAATTATGTATCCAGGGAAGAAATAAAGTACTAATAATTAATTTATTTTTGAATAAAATTAACTGTAAGATTAGATTTGTTTACCAATCCTTGCTGGTAATAAATGACCTCAACTAATTTTTAACCAGATTCTTCTGAAAAACACATGCCATAGCTGATGAGATTAAAAGGTAAAGGTAAAGGCCCTCCCGTTGATCGTCGATTTGCTCGAGCGGGCCCAGTAACGTCTCCATTGGAGACTTTGTTGTTACTGTGTCTGGCATATCGAATACTCTCGGTAGCTTGCAGGGCTCTCCGAGAGGGGCGGAGGAATCGAACTCGGGGCGGCCATGTTGGCCGCTTGTAAGGCAAACGCCCTACCGCTGTGCTATGAGATTATGATACTTAAATTGTGAGTTATGCTGATATTTTCTCACACGGACACTGGTAAATGGGTGAAGAATCCTACTCGAAATGCCTTTCAAAGTGGGACAGCAAATTAATCACAGCACGGAAATGGCGGTAAAACAAGCTGTTAGAAAACTAGAAACCTAGAAAGGAGGAGGCAGTGACCTGGCAATGCCAAACAAAACTAATCAAAACAAAAACCCAAATGACAAAAGCCACTCTGGAGACGGGTACCCTGGTGAGGGGTGTGGCGTTGGAACTGTGTCCATGATAAACCATTATCAATGGTACTATAAACCAAAAATAAGAATTTAAAAAGGAAAAAATAATGTAAAGCAATGCCTTCAAGAGCCTCGAAGAAATAGCTAAGAGGACAAAGAACCTCCAGCTCTGGGCACATCTGATTCCACTGTTCTTCCTGCATTAACATATGCCTCAGAGACCTGGGCCCTACGCAAGCAGGATGAGAACGCTATTCAGGTCTCCCAAAGAAGAATAGAAAGAGCTATGCTTGGAATATCACGTTTCACTCAAATGAGAGAAAGAATCTGGAGTTCCGACATCCGTCGACGATCAAGAATCAGGGACGCTGTCTCATTTGCCAAGGTGTCAAAAATCAGATGGGCTGGTCACGTAATGAGATTTAAAGACGATCGCTGGACTAGAGCTGTTACCAACTGGATTCCACGGGATGTCAAAAGACTGCGTGGCCGCCCACCTACGAGATGGTCAGACTTCTTTGTCAAGATCCTGAATGATCAGTTTGAGGCTCTTCGTGTTCCTAAAATGAGCAGACACCATTGGGCTACACTAGCACGCGTCAGGGACGAATGGAGACGTTACTGGTGCCTGCTCGAGCAAATCTATAAGTAACGGGATGTCAAGTGATCAAGTGAATGTAACGCAAGACACACAAACAAAAAAGCATACTCTCTCTCCAACCAGGCAAACGACAGACCAGGAAAGCAGCAGCCTCCAAATGAAGAAAACTTTTGGACATTAACTGCTCCAGCAAAGGCCAGAAGGGGAGGCCCGGGGTGGGGTCGGAGCTGGCGGGCAGAGGTACTTTCCTCCAAACCCAGACGTCGGCAGAGACGAACATCCACCCCACCCGGCAGAAGTGAGGCTGAGTGGCAGAGGAGGGTAATGGGGTCATAGTTACCGTATATACCCACTCGCTGTCCACGTCCTACTCTAGGATTCGTGGGGGTCCCAGAGGAGCCTCCTCCTGCCCTTCCTAGCGGGGGAGGGTCAGAGGAGGGATAAGAGAGCCTGTTATTAAAGGGGAGCTGCTCCTCACCCCCACACACCAGGGCTGCTGAATTCTAGAGGGGAGACAATGCCCATCCCCTCCGGCTCTCCGAAGCACTAGCATGGGAAGCCTGCGATGATCTTTCAAGGTCAGACCCCAAACCAGGTGTTCTTGGTTTGCTCAGGCTTTGTTTTGGGGCATCCCTGGCTGTGCTCAGGAATCACCTCTGCTGGTGTGACTATATGTGGTGCCGGGGACCAAACCCAGCTGATTGTGGGCAAGAGAAGCACCTTCCCTGCTGTACTCTTATAAGCCCTATGATTTTTTTATGTATTATTTTGTTGTTCTTGTTAGCCAGACCAGGTTTTAATTGAAAACCATTTGGTATCAGAAGCAGGAAGATCTCAAATTGGATGAAACAAACAAAAAAGACAGTGATGTGAGCACCCAAGACAGATCTGTTAGAATCAGCACGCAGAACATTTTAAGTGGTCATGATAGAAACACTTCAGTGCTCAGATATAAACACACCTGATGGGGAAAAGGGAAAATAAAGCTTATACAAAGAAATGGGAAGAAGAGTCAAATGGAAAAGTTAGACTTAATACAACTGAAATAAATCACTCTATAGATGAGATCAAACACAGAACAAAGGGAACACAATGGCTAAGAAAAGACAATAGGAATCATCCAGCCTTGTACTGCAAGAGTACAGTGACTTAAAGAAGAACAGAATTGAGCAGAACTGTGAGCTATGGACTGTAACAAAAGACTGTGTATTGTGTTATCAGAGTTTCAGGGAAAAGAGGGAGAAAGTCAAGAGATTGCAGGAAAGCTGAGCTAATTGCACAAAGCGATCCACACATAAACAGAACTGCAGAAAAATAAAGGCAAGGAAGAGAATCTGAAAGCAGCAAGAGGGAAACAGCATTGTTGCTGGGCGGGGAGGGACATACAATTACAATGGCAGTGAATTTTTCAGCAGAAAATATGGCAGCCAGAGGGAAATGGCACACCATCCTTTAAGTGCTGAACGAAAAGGAACTGTCGGTTCAGATGAACGAGAAATCAAGATATATTCCAAGGGACAAAAACTAAGAGGATTTATTGCCTTCAGACCTACCCTGAAAGAATGAAGAGGTTCTCCAATCAGAAAAGAAAGGAGGAAAGGAATCAATGAAGGTAAAGAAAATTGGTAGAAAAATAATGAATACAGTAGACTTTTCTTTAGTTTTCTAAATTATGTTTGAAAGCTACAGCAAAAATCCTAAGGCTACTACTTATCAGACTAACTGGTAAAATGACCCAACCAGCAGATGGTACCTAGCTATGTGGATATATGTCTTAGAGCAACAATTTAAAAAGCCATAGAGGAGATATACTTTATTTATTTATTTATTATTTTTTAATGTAGGAGTACTGCTATTTATTCAGCCATTGATT